AAGGCGGAGACGGCAGAACCACGATGAGAAAGCAAGTGGGAGCGGACTGTGGGAATGATGGAGAGTCTAACAGCCAGATTAAAAACGGAGAGGAATACGAGGAGGAATTGGACCCACGAATTCAGGTATGTTGCTAAAGAACCGTTTCCCTCCCCGCATTAGCAAATGCGTCATATTTCCCGAGCCAAACAAAACTACGATAAACGCCGACCGTGCATGGCAACGATCTGCTCCTGACACAGACCGACGCCTGGGTCAAGCCCATCCCCTGTCTAACAATATTTCCAGCTGTCTGGTTGTATTCTGCTTTTAAAACACGTCGTCTTTCCCGTGTGTTTCCAGGAGGAGCTGGAGCACCTCAACCAAGCTAGCGAAGAGATCAACAAGCTGGAGCTGCAGCTGGATGTGAGGAGGTCACAGTAAACCTGCGGACACCCCAGCCCCCACGTAGTTTTGCGTTTTGTTCATACATTAGGGTAACAAAACCCGAGACCCCATTGCAAAGTAAAAGCGATCTTAAGGTGAATGTAATTTCAACATTACCCAACACTAAAGATATAATATGTCATGAAATAAATGATAAATATGAAGAATACATTTTACTTGAAATCAGCAGTATCCATGCTCAAAGAGTCGCTCAGTCTGTGCAGGTTTCCATATATTAACACTGTGAAGCACAAGGAAAACATTTCATTAGGCTTTTACTCACTAATGTTCCCCCGTCTGTTTCTCTCTGTTTTTCTTCATTCTGTACTTACCCAGTCATCTGTTAACTCTTCCCTGAAATCTCTGCAACGTTCATTTTTCCTCAGCTTCCACCATTTATTCCTTGCCTCTGCCTTCACTCGCTTCCACTTCTTGATGACCAAAGTCATCCTGCAGACTAACATTTGATGCTTCCTAGGTACATTCTCCATCTAGCAATCTTCTCTTTCAGATTGCACCTTCTCCATAGGAAGTAGTCCAGGGGTCCTCAGTCCCAGTCCACGAGGGCCGGTGTCCCTGCAGGTTTTAGATCTCACCCTGGGTCAACACACCTGAATCACATGATTAGTTCATTACCAGGCTTCTGCAGAACTCCAAGACATGTTGAGAAGGTAATGTATCCATTTAAATCAGCTGTGATGGATCAAGGACACATCTAAAACCTGCAGGGACACTGGCCCTCGTGGACTGGGATTGGGGACCCCTGATGTAGTCCAACGTGTAGTATCCTCCTCCTTATAGATCATCCCATGTTCCCCCCTCTTCTTGAATCAAGTGTTCACCGCAGCCATTATTTCCATTTTTTTGGCAAAATCCACTGCCATCTGTCCTTCTGCATCACTCTCCAATCCAACACCTCCTCATCAGTTGTGTTACCTTCATCTACCAGTCCACTCAAGTCTGCTTCAATCACAAATCTCTCAGTCTTGAAGACACACTCCACCCATTCATCCATCTCACTTCCAAATTCCTTTCTCTTCTAACTGAAATCCAACCTGTTGGGCATACGCACTGAAAACATTCAACATCACCCCTCATGATGCTGTCTGACACTCTCTTCATATCCACAGGACTGTTTTCATGCACTTCTTCCACACTAACCCTATCCATATCCACGTTTAATCTCTTGTCCTTGCTTCCATCCCATCTGGTCTCCTGCACACACACAATATGTGGTGAATGGACTGGTTATAGTGCTTTTCTAACCTACTCAAGCACTCAAAGTGCTTTATGCAACATGTCATATTCACACCCATTCATACAGGCACTGAAGATCGCTTTTAGAGGACTTTGGTCTCAGTTTCTGTTACTGTAATGCCTCGTATATAGTGAGGGCTGGCTTTACTGTGTTTCTTGAAGTGGGGAACATTTTGGTTCCCTTGGCCAGGACACCCACTCCAGGATGTTGGATCTTCAGGAGTACTGAGATCCAAAAGTGGCCAGTGGTATGCTGCTCCCATAGTAATGGCTGCAGCCTGCTGCTGTTCTCAGAACGTTGCCTGCTGCTTTTGACTGGCCGGTAAGCCAGTGCTGGCCCGAGGTTTGGTTTTTGACCGTGCCCACAGCTAAACCCATCACCAACCACCCACCTCAGCATGTATTAACCAGGTCTGAACTACGGTGTTACAGACCGCTGGTCCCCCAACCTTTGTTATAATATATAATAATGACTACATATGTAGTAATCATTTCTACATCTGTGTAGGCCAAATAAAAAAACATTAAAATTAAATATCCAGTTTTATGTATTCAAATTTGTGTAAGGAAATAGAGGGCATGTACTGTACACGCTTCATCATGAAGAGTGCACTATGCCTCGCTCTAAAATAAAAAGTCCGAACAGCGTAACAATTATAATACTGCTTGAAATGGCTAATGATAAATGGAAAATATAAAAACCCAAAACAGCTCTGTTTTTGCTTTCACTGGGGCATACTCCTACTGTCCTCACACAAACACACACCTGCTGCTGCCTCTGTTGTGACTGTCTTCTGTTTTCCTCCACTGCTCTTTGAGCATTGTCTGTCAGTCAGTCAAGGCCGAGCAGCTGCTGTCTACTGGTTGGACCTGAAAGTTGACGTTTCATTTTTTTAAAAACTTTATTTAACACAGGGATCACTAAGGTCAAAGTGAGTGAGAGCTACTGCAACAGAGAGAGCGATGTGTTATTCACAGAGCGTGAAGGTGAGTAAAGAAGGTTGGCTTACTGGTTTGCAGGACGAAGCAAGGAAAGAGGGCAGGGTGGTTCTCAGGGTGAGTGGCTGAGTGATGCAATGAGTGGAATAGGATGTCCGACCTGTCTGCTCCTTTTCCAGAGTGGAGGTACGTGGTAGCGAATAGGAGGCCAGGCAGGTGAGATCCATAGTACTCCAGGAGGCCAAAAGGTAAGGGCAGCAGCAACTGACAGGTAAGTTGCAGGCAAGCAGAGAGTGAGTGAGGATGACCAGCATCAGAGGAAGTTGGTTCCTAATAGAGCTTAGCCAATGATGATCCAAGTGTGCAAACTGGAAACACAGAGAGCGCAATGTGCTGGACTGCACCAGCTTGATATGTGAGACATGAAAAGTGGGTTGACTGCATAGCATCGGGAGCGGTCTGAGTCTGACAGCTGATCACTGAGTCCATCTCGTATGGACCTATGTAACGAGCAGCCAGTTTTCTGGTTACCTGAGTGAGAATCAGAACACTTTATTAATGCCTGCGGAAATGATGTGGTCACAGTTGCTCCAAAACAGGAAGAAAAGTAACTGAATTAAGCAATAACATGTATTAAAAAGTGAAAAAAACAAACAAAATAAATGTAATGTATACAAATAGCACAATTAGAAATAACCTAGTATATTATACAAATTAAATGTATATGGCTTCCGCTGCACTCAGCCGGAAACTTTAACAATGGACTGATACGAGAGAATTTATGACTGTGGGTTAAAAGCCTTGGTGCAGCATTTTGGACCACTTGAAGGTGATTTAAAGAAAACTTTGACAGACAGGAGAAGAAAACATTACAATAATCTAATCAGGAGGCGATTTCTTAAATGAACAAAACAGGAGCGGGTCACAGACTTGATATCAAAAAACAGAAAATGATCAAAAATTAATTTGATCATTTTAAAATTAAAATTTATTTTACCGTGGATGAGAAAGGACCCAGATGTTGTCTAATATGGGGCCTAATACTCTCTGGAGCAAGAATTGATTTCCTCCATCTTTAAGGGTTATGTCTCACTGATGCTGCTGATGCTGATGTGCTCCTGTGACTACCCAGCACGCCATCACCGTCTTAGAGTCCAACTCCATCCCCAGGATATTACTGGCCTTGTCCATCCCTTTATTGAGATTTTTGGCTGACGCCGTCGAGTGCTACGTTTGCTTCAGGCTTAGGTGGCACATGTTGCAACAGACTGCCTGATGTCCTTCTCCAACATGCCCCTCCAGAAACGGCGTCTGAGGAGACTTATGGTTCTGCTCACCCCGAGGTGGAATTCAAAGCTTGAAGAAAAACAGCTTAGATGTACAGGCAGGCGAGGTGGGCGGTCTGAGCCAAGTAAATCACAGCAGAACAAACAGCTGTGGGGACATAGCGGTGGCCAGGGGGACCTGAGCCAAGATCAATGGTCAATTTGCAGGCCTTTTTGGATTGTCTCCTCCAAATCCAACAGGTACGCCCAAAACTACAGGTGGGCAGGCTCTTTTGGCTGCGCAGGACAGGAAGTGAGAAAGTGTCCCGAGTGACCATATTAAAAATACTTGCACACTGGTTAGCCTCTCAAGCCTACAATGCCTGATCTGAATGTGTTCAGGCTGGGGCTCTGAAGGAGAGGGCAAGGAATTAGGAGCTGAGCGAAGGAGAATATATTACCATGGGCTCAAAGCTGGCCTTGGCGGATGCTCTGGGGGTCGTGTAATTTTTTTGGCTTCCCTCTGATATGTTTTTTTTATCCCCTGTAAACACTTTGTAACAGATTTCTGTCTTAAAAAGTGCTATATAAATACATTTTACTTACTCTCTTTTAAAAGATTGTGAATTCTGAGAGAGAAGGACACCACGGTTTGTCACCGGACATTAACTGATCAATCATCCGGTCATTCAAAGCTTGAAGAAAAACAGCTGAGACATTTATTTGGGCCAACCTGGTTTGGCTGCCACAGTCCGGAACTCGACCACAAATTGTGCTGCTTTACCTTGGCGGAGATTTAATAATTTCCTTGTGGAAGTTTGCTCAGACATGGAGTCAGTGAAAGTCCTCTTCAACTCATTCTAAAAAACATCATTTGGGTCAGAACGTAAAAAAGACTTCAGTCCACGCCAGCGCTGTTCCCCCCAGTAAGCTAACCACAGGAGGGAAGGAGGGCGACGAGCGACCGAAAGCTAACAAGCATCATAGCAGCAAGCCCCTACACTGTGCCAGCTCACCGGTGAATGGTTCCAAAACACGGCTGTGACCCCACGACTGTCAGCATTACATCCCTCTTTTACCCTCTTTTTCTCTTCTGCACACCTCTTTCTTTCTTTCTTTCTTTCTTTCTTTCTTTCTTTCTGTCTGTCTGTCTGTCTGTCTGGATATGAAAAGAAGTTACAAGTAGCCTAGGTCAGCCAAACTAGAACTAGAAAAACGTCATTTTATAATTCAGTGTGTGTGCTAGGGGTGGGTTTTGATTATCGATTTTCCGATTCTAGCTTGAATAATGTGATATCAATTCATTAAAACCCTGAATTGATTTTTAAATATAAATTCATTTTGCCAGAAATGCCAGAATCTCGTGTTAAACTAGCAAACAGTTAAAACAGTAAATGAGAGCAGTGCACAGATTCTGCACAAAGACGTAAACACAAAGCGCGGACAGGCTGACGCATCAGAATCAGTGAGCTGTCGGCTTTCTCACGATGGCACGTACATGGACACGCCATCGGGGCTGAAAGCTGACAGCTCACAGATTCTGAAGCTGCAGTTTTGTCTCTCCAAACAAAGTTGACTGAAGCAGCAGCAAAAGAAGATCCAAACTACGCTTCACGTCTCGTTTCACATAAACATCGTCATGAATTCCCTCTGACTTTTGCTGTTTTGCGTCCAGCACGATAAAATCACACTTCATGCACAGCTCTCTCTCTCTGTGTACTTCAAGAGCAGTTTCCCATCTCAAATCTCTGTTTTCTGCATTATTCGCATGCTTATTATGCACAAGTCTACTGTTATGCACAGCGCTGTCGGCTGCTGTTTTTTTTCTTTTTAAATTTAACTTTCGACAAGAAAGCCTCATTTCTGCTGTTCTGTCTTTAAAATGATGCAAAATTGCATCTGTGCAGCTGTGTCTCTAATAAAACCTCTGTAACTTTGCTCTGCGTCACTTCAGCAGCATCAGGTAATGTTCAAATGTTGATTCGTGGTTTTCTTCTGTTTCTGTTCTACTGCAGAGTATTATTAGGGTTATCTGCTATAAGAAGACAGGACACGAAAATCACCTTCATGTTTTTCTGTGTTTTATCCTCAGTTACTTTGACACAAAGGCCTCTGCTGTGATGCTCACACCTTTGATAAAGTCTCACAAGTGTCAGCTTTCTTTTTATAGATATAAAAATATGGATATGAACTGATAAGTGATCAGAATTATAATATTTCTGACTGTCTGAGGTAAAGTTTCCCTGATTCAAATGGAGTCGATCGAATTGTGGATCGAATCGATTCTAGAAGTCAGTTACGATACCCAGCCCTAGTGTGTGCGTTTGCGTGACGGTGTGTGTTAGGGTTGTAAAGACTTTTCTCTCAGGCTTTCTTTTTTTTGCAGACTTTGTCACAGGAAGTCAGATTGGACGCCATCAGTGAGAGTGCACTGCTGTTTTTGCATTCTACTTAGCCTACGTCCACACGTACACGGGTATTTTTGAAAACTGAGATTTTCCGTTTTCATTTTTAAAAAATAATCCCGTCCACACGTAAAGGCAGAAATGAAGGAAAACGCTGCTATGAACATGCCAAAGCAGCAGGTGGCGCTAGATTCCTAAACGTGTAGAAATGTTGGCCAATCAGAAGTCTAGAAGCCTCGGTGGGAAAAAGTAAACAAAGCTGGGGCATAGAAGCAGAACCGAGTCGTATGTGTGGAGGGACAGTAACTGTGTATATGTAAGCATCTAAACACTGCAGAGAGTAGAATTAACAGTATTGTAGAAATTCATTTCACCGAAACAATAACGTGGCGCACAGTGTGACGTCAAAAAATGCGCACACCTTTGACGCTGCGTTTTCTGCGTTTTTCTAGTCCACACATACATGCAAAAACTGAGTTTTCAAAAATATCCACCCTGGCCGGAGTTTTTAAAAATCTCCGTTTTCAGTGACCGAAAACGCCGTTTACGTGTGGACGATATGTGCAAACGCACAGAAAAATCTGCGTTTTCAAAAGTACCCAGGTACGTGTGGACGTAGCCTTAGTTCATTTTAAATTCTTGGCATCTTTAAAAGCATTATTTGCACACCGTGTTTCATCCAAATGAGACTTGTCTTATTTGCTGTGAAGAAAGCATCAAACTGGGTTATCTCAGTTCACATGGGTAGTATTGCATTAGCAGGTTTCTGAACAGTGTTCACAACCCAAGATTTTATGTTCAATAAGTTTCTAAACTTTTCATGATTGCTGTGCAGCCAGTCTGTGGTCTAAGCAGCCAAGTGACTTTGTGGTCTGTCTTTATCTGCAAACACTTTGTGCCTCTTGGTATCCTGTAGTTGATCTTTCTATGACGAGCACACACTCACTGCAGATTTTTCAAAGTGCTCAAATTGCTCTCAGAGTGTCGAAGAAATTAATATCAATCTGTAGATCCATGCAGGCCTTTTGCAATGATTCAGTGTAAAAACAGATCATTGAATGTGCAGTGTGACAGCTTACATAAACTCGTTTCCTAAATTGTTCACAGATCAGTAGTAATGAGACTGACCCTCTAACAGCACTGCCTTAAGATCTGAGAACAGTGCTGACCAGCCTGAAGCAGGTGGTTGACCATCTCGAGAACAGTGGTCAGCTGGCTGAACAGCTTCCTGTCAAAGCCCTTATATAAATCAGCTGACTACTGAGGCATCGCAGTACACCACAACAACAGGAATAGCATATCACTGGCCACTTATGGATCTTCTATTTGTCTCATATTTTGCATATTTGTCACATTTACTTAGATGGTTGTTGCAAGGGTGAAGAAAAGATTAAAGATCGGGGGACAGAAGTCTTGCATGGTTGAGTGGCTGAAACTCCACATACCCTTTGCACACCATAGCAATTATAACATTCATTTGAAACTGTTTTGCCTTGCCAAGTAATTTTGTACGTTTTTTGTCCCGTAGGCATAATTTTAATCTCCAGCTGCGTTCCATTTATGAAGCTGTGATCACTGCTTGATTAAACACTAATTAGAAACATTTAAAGAAGTGCTAAAATGAAGTCTGCTATGATTACTGCTGGATCTTGTTTTTTCATAAGAAACTAGAAATTCTCTTATTTTAAGGTAGGAAAAGCTCTACTACAGAACCTTTCAGACCACATATTTCTTTTTTGCTTCCACAGTGTCTTAATCTGAATTCTGTGAGTGCAGATGCTGAAATATTCCAGTAACCTATCCAAAGAAAATCTATGAGCATAGCAGAAGTACATTTAAAATGCTCATGGTTCAAAAGCAAGTGCATCTCTGACCATTATCTGTGAGGTGTTACGTAGACGCTAGCAGCTATGTTATGTTTCTAAACTGAGGTGAAGGTTTTAGTAAAGTGGTGTTTGTTTAAGCGATATATTGAATGTCAATCACAGAACTTAGAATGTAGGTCACGGATATAACAATAAACCCCTTTTTCCCTTCTCTGGTGCTTGCTTAACCTACTCAAAGTGTTTGTACACTTGACTCCTGTCTTCCTGTCACAGCCCCAGATGCCACAGTGAGTTGTGTCAAGACTCACGGTGTGTAATGTAATGTGCAATCTTATGCGTGTGCTCCCTCAGGACGCCAGGTCGAGCTACAGGAGGATCCTGACTGATTCTGCCAGGAAGCTCAATGCCCAGGGCTCCCAGCTCGGTGCGTGCATTGACAAAGCAAGGCCTTATTATGAAGCTCGCAGACTTGCCAAAGAGGTATGTGTTTCTACTGCTCACAAGTCAACAGAGTGAGATATATGCAATCAGTTAGCAGTTTATTAGAGCTGCTAAGCACAAAGTATGGTAAATGGACTGCTTCTTATATAGCGCTGTTCTACTCTGTCTGAGCACTCAAAGCGCTTTATACAACTAATTCATTCACCCAATCATACAAGCACGTTTTCAAACTGTTTAGTGCTTCCTGTCTAACATTCATGCACATTCACACTCCGATGAATGCATCAGAGAGCAGCATGGGGTTAGTATCTCTCCCAAGGATATTTGGCATGCAGACTGGTGGAGCCTGGGATTGAACCGCCAACCTTCCGGTTAGTAGCTTACCTGCTCTACCACCTGAGCTGGGCAAGATATTCAAAAGGTGGGTACAGGTTACCCAATCTGGGACAGGGTTGCTGAGGCTTGGAGATCAAGAGGTGGTTGGGCTGGTTAGGCTTTAGGCCTTGGGGCTGGGGTCAGTCAAGAAGAGCTACAACGACCTACCCACACGATGGTGAAGGTCACTGCCAGTCCAGGTCCCAGTTGAAAAACAGGCTGTAGGAACAGGTTGGGAAAATGCAGCTGTGCCCTGGAGGCAGCTAGAGTTCGATGCAGTGCTTTATTTCTTCAAAGAGATAATTGTGCATCAGTGTATGAAACATTTTCGACTGCTAGAGAAGCTCACCTCCTTTACTGGGGTCATATCTTTAGCTATTGTATGTTGGCAATTAGCAGCTGATGTTCTTAGGTGAGGTACCCAGCAGCATGTCAGTGTGGTGAAGGGCCATGGAGGTCCCAAGTTGTGTCAGTTTCAGTCCCAGTCATGGCTGAAGGCATAGCTATCTGAGACAAGGCAATGTGTGAGAAGGACCTTCCTTCCATCTACAGCTATATGCAGTGTAATGTGCTACAGCTTAACACAAGAACAAACGACTGTGGCAGAATATATCACATGAAGTCACATGAAGTCCTGTAAATGGTGATTCTTGATTAGTATGTATGTGACAGGGAATGGGAAGGTTGAGCCTTCTAAATCTTAATAGAGAGTATAACAGTTTATTTCAATGTGAATTTCATGGTGTGGAATGTGGCCATCAGTGGATGGTGTGTTTGGCTGTATTTGACAAAGATGGTGCCGGTGAGGTCGGCTGCCGTCACGACTGCTCCGACCACTTTTTCTTTGTCTTTGTTTTTTAAGTTAGTTTTCAGCGTTTCTAAATCGGCAAAATCACCACCATTGAGTACATTAGGTATGACAGTGACACTCTTGTTTCTATTGGTATACAATGTACTCACAATTCGAAGTTTTTAACTCCGGATCCGAGCTGGCCGAGTGAGATCT